CACACACACACACACACGGTCACAGAAGCGTCCCTGCACTGCCCTGCCTCCCGCCCACCACACCCCAGGGCTGATACGGGCATGCAGGCACACACATGGACCCGCCTGCAGGCCATGCGCACAAAGACACACAGACCTGCATACACACACTGGGAGGCAGCCAAGAACGGACCCACCCAGACACAGGCTGATGGACACACTGCAACAAGAAGATACGGGACACAGGCGAGGGCCGGTTACAGGGCCCTGGCAGACTTGTGACACAAGCAGGTAGACCACCCGTTCGTAATGGGGGCTGAGATGGGTTCTTAGGGTGGGGGCCAGGAAAGTCTTAGCTGTTACGGTGAGCTGTGACTCTCTAAAGGGCCACAGTACATAAACGTATGTACTATATTTCTATGGTCGTAAAATTTCATGGTGGGAATGGGATTAGGAAAAATAGCTCTAAAATTATTCCTTAGCGGGGTATAATGAAAACAAGGTTGGGGCACCTGGGTGGCTCAGTCGGTTAAGCGTCTGCCTTCGGCTCAGGTCATGATCCCAGGGTTCTGGGATCGAGCCCCACGTCGGGGCTCCCTGCTCAGTGGAGAGTCTGCTTCTCCCTCTCCCTCTGCCTGCCTCTCTGCCTACTTGTGCTCTCTCTCTATCTCTCTGTCAAATAAATAAATAAAATCTTAAAAAAAAAAAAGAGAACAAGGTTGAGGAGCACTGATGTAGATTAAGACTCACCCAGGGGAGGTGTGTGCTTGCACATGCACGCGAACACACACACACCTGTCATGCACCCGGGTGCTGACACTGTCTCACACATAGCTCACTGCCCCCACCCCCTCACAGATGGCAGGATGCAGGTGGATGATCACCTGCCCATCCCTCTGCTCTTCATCCAGCCCCCCTCACCCCCAACCCTGCCATCTGGCCCAAACTTAGGAGCCCCAGGGCAGCTGTTACTGCAGACTTTCCACCACAGAGATGCTGAGAAGAGCCCTGCATTCTTCCTCTCTGTGGTTCCTTCCCTAAGCCCGGTCACTGTCCCTGCCACGGTCCCAGCCCGTTCCCCAAGCCGTCCTGAGCAGCACCCTGCCCCATCCTAAACTAGGGGCAGTTCCCAGTGACCATCCATGGCCCAGAGCACCTTGTCTTGCACGTGCTTCTGGGCATCCTTTGCTGCACCCTCTCAGCCCCAGTCCTCGACTCTCCGCCTCATGGCTGGCCCCTCTTGGCTGCAGTACTCACTTGGATGCTCTTGCTTCTGCACCCTCTGCTCCACCGGCCCCACTTACAGTCCCCTGGCCTCCCAGGGTCCAGGCCCCCACTTGCCAGCCCGTCCCCTCCCCCTGTGTGCCAGGGGCCGCCTGCCTCCAGGGCCCAGCTCCTCCCTGCCCCCGAGGGAGGGGGGCACAAAGGGGCCCTTGTCACCACTGTTGGAACTGGGCAGCCTGACGCCTGGGTTCTACTAGCTCCTTCCTGGAGGGGATAGGGGGAGGCAGCCTCACTTGCTCTCCCCTCCTCCATCACTGTGCACCCTGGTTCTGGGTCCCTGGGAGGGTCTTCTAATGTCTCTGGAAGTCTCAGGCTAAGAAACAGAAAGTGTTGTTCTCATTGTCTAGGGAAACTTGGTGGCCAGGACAGGTATAACCTCGGTCCCAAGAGGCCACAGAGGGGGTGAGCAGGAGACGGGACCTGCCCACTCTTGCCTTCAGCGTCACCTCCACCCTCTCTTGAATCACTTCCCTGGGTCATGTTTGGTGCCCTCATCCTGGTCTATTTTCCAGACTCGTCTTGCTGTCAAAAATGACCTTATGCGGGCGCCTGGGTGGCTCAGTCGTTAAGCGTCTGCCTTCGGCTCAGGTCATGATCCCAGGGTCCTGGGATCGAGCCCCGCATCGGGCTTCCCGCTCTGCGGGAAGCCTGCTTCTCCCTCTCCCACTCCCCCTGCTTGTGTTCCCGCTCTCGCTATGTCTCTCTCTGTTAAATAAATAAAATCTTTAAAAAAAAAAAATGACCTTATGCATTGATTGTCTCCTCTCATGAGAACATGATCTCCAGGAAGATAAGGGCTTCGCCCGCTGAGTTCTAATCTATCCTGTTTGTAGAATGGCTCCTGGCACAGAGTTAAGCTTCATAACCACAGAGCTGGTGCACACATTGTTCCTCAAATACCCAGCGGCACCTTCTGACCGGAGACCTTTGCACTCGTTCCTTCCTCCTGGACAGGCCTCCCCACCCCATCCCGCAGCACTGGTTACCCAGTGCCATGGGCCACAGCCTGCACATCCTGTAGGCTTCCAGCCTGGATGCCACTTCCTCTGGAAGCCTGCCCTGCCCCTCTCACCACGCCAAGCCCCTCCATTCAATGCTGCCCCGTCCTTCCATGGCCCTCAGCGCGTTTGCCGACTGCACTCCAGGGGGGCCTCCTTCCCCACCAGCACGGGAGCTCCCAGAGGGCAGGGTTTCTGACTGTCTGTCCGCTTCGCCCTCTGTCCCCTAGAACAATGCCTGGTGCACAGTGGGGCTTATCTAGCGCCATGCTTACTCTTTGAGCTAGGTGAGGACCCACTGTGTGCAGATTCCACACTCCACAGTGACCCTCCTCCCAGCCCAACCCCGCCCATTGATCATGACCTTTGCAAGGTGCTTGTGTGGGGGGGCGGTGGAGGGAGCTGATGGTACTGTGACCAAGTGTAGTAATGGTTTGACCATGAGCTGCTCAGTCACACTGGAGCATCTTCTATCCTCCTTTAGGCCGGAGCAGTTTTCGGGGAGTGGGGGTGGGGGGGTCCTTTCTCCCAAGGGAGAACCCAGCTGGGGTGGGGAGGGTGAGGGGCAGGGAAATCCCTCAGACCCAGGCGTGTGGAGTCAGAGAAGGCTGATGGAGGGGGAGGGGGAGTCCCTCCCACCCCCACCTCAGGCTTCATGATGTCAGACTCTGCCCGTGCCTTTCCCAGACAGGGACAAAAGCCCATTGAGAGCGGGGTGGGGCTTGAGCGCCTGGGTCCTAGAGAAGAGAGGGCCCTGGTGCCTGGGCTTTGGAGGACGATGCTGAGATCCTGGGGTACTCCTGCGTCACAGCCTTCAACCTCAACGCCAACCCCCTTGGGGTCATGTGCCTGCACCGTTTGGGGGTCCACCCCCTCTCTAGGTGTGAACTGAAGGCTGTCCTGGGGGGCAGGACGCACAGGCCAGTGTGTCCACAGAGGGCACTGGCAACCATCGCTGAAATCTGCAATCCCGGGTCCCCAGGCCACAGGAGGATAGGGCACTGCAGGGCCTGTGCCTGTCCAAACGGGGAGCCACCACTCGGATCCAACCAAGCCTTCGAAACCAGGCAGGTCTGATAGGGCTGCTGTGATAGAGCATCACAGACTGGGTGGCTTAAAAAACAGAATTGATTGTCTCACGGTGCTGGAGGCCACAGTCTGACGTCAAGGGGTTGGCAGGGTTGATCCTTTTGAGCGCAGGGGGGAAGGATCTGTTCTAGGCTTCTCTTCTTGGCTTCTAGATGATGGTCTTCATGTTCACATGGCCTTCTCCCTGCATACAGGCTTCTGTGTCCAAATCCCCACTTTTTGTAAGGACACCAGCCCTCTTGGATTAGGGTCTAACCTACTGACCTCATTTTAACTTGACTATCTCTATGAAGACCCTCTTTCCAAATCAGGTCACAACCTGAGGTTCTGGGAGTTAAGACCTCAACATTTAAATTTGGGAGGGTGGGGGGACACACAGTTCAGCTCATAACTCATAAGCAGCCGTACTCTGTGGGGTTGCCGAGCAGAGAGAGGATGACGGCAAGGTCTCACAGCTCATGGGAGCCCAAGCTGTCCACCTGCCTTCCCCTCCCCACCCTTCAGCCTCCATTCAGGGAAACTTCTCCCAGAGGATGAGCCTCTCATGGTTTCCAAGACAGAAGGTAGAAGGTGGTGGTGTACGGGACTGATCTGGCTCCCAGCTGAATTCACTTTGGCTACCAGAGTGTTGATTTAAACAACAAAATCCCTGTAATCAGTTGCCAATATCTTAAAAACCAGGAAATCTCACATCAAAATAAGCATGGCCGCCTTCTCTTGAAAAGAAGCTCTAGCCATGTTTGGCCTGCCTTTGGGCATGACAAGCCATCTCCCGGTCCCCCTAACGATCTAACCCAGGCCTCCCATCCATATGCAACATTGAGGCCAAATAGCCAAGGCCATTTATCACCGTGCTAGTGCTGACGTTTTCTCATGGGCTAAGAAGATGGTACATCTTCTCTGTTTCTGTCAAAAGTGGGGAAATGCGGGGCGCCTAGGGGGCTCAGTCGTTAAGCGTCTGCCTTCGGCTCAGGTCAGGATCCCAGGGTGCTGGGATCGAGCCCCGTGTTGGGCTCCCTGCTCAATGGGAAGCCTGCTTCTCCCTCTGCCCACTCCCCCTGCTTGTGTTCCCTCTCTCGCTGTCTCTCTCTGTCAAATAAATAAATAAAAATCTTTATTTAAAAAAAAGTGGGGAAATGGGATACATTGAGAGGGACACGGTTTCAAGAAGAATGGGAGGGAACTTAACTCCTTGTGGAGGTGAGCGGTCTCCTCCCGCGTGTCTCACGGGCAGTGTGTCCTTACTCAGAGGATACCCCTTATGGTGCTCTCTGAAACCCAGCCACCGCCCCTCACTCGGTCACTGTGCCTGCCTGCAAGGCCGGTGGTTCTCAGACTTTTTGGTGGCAGGATCCCTTTCTACTCTGCAAAATCATCGAGGACTCCCCAGAAAACTTGTTTACGTGGGTTCCATCTCTAGCTGCTCCACGTCTTAGAAACTGAGACCGGGACATTTTGAAAGCCCAAGGCACACCAGCACACACAACCCGTTCCCGTCGGAGCGATGAGGTTGACCCGGCGTCACCGAGCCCGTGAGCCCATGCGCCCCCGATGGGAGGCGAGTGAGCCTGATGGAGCCCTATCAGGGGTTCCCCGGACCTTGCTTTGAGAACCCTTGTGAGGACTCTGCATTAGTTACCGTTCTTTTTTTTTTTTTTTTTTAAAGATTTTATTTATTTATTTGAGAGAGAGAGAATGAGAGACAAAGAGCAGGAGAGAGGGAGGGTCAGAGGGAGAAGCAGACTCCCTGCTGAGCAGGGAGCCCGATGCGGGACTCGATCCCGGGACTCCAGGATCATGACCTGAGCCGAAGGCAGTAGCTTAACCAACTGAGCCACCCAGGCGCCCTAGTTACCGTTCTTTTAAGAAGGCTTCAATGAGAGGAAACTCGGTTTCACTTCCAGCCCCTGCTGTTGCAACATAGGTTCTAGGTCTTCTGAAGCAGGGAAGGAGGAAGGGAAGAGCAGGAAACAGATTTTCCTTCACCAAACCTCCATGCCAACCCCGGTACCCACCAACCCCGCATACCCGTAACCAGACAGGGGCCAGAACAAGCCTCTGGCATGGGCCTCGGGCAGGAAGAAAGGGCAACAGACACTGTAGTATGGAAAACAACAGACAGAAACATTTTATTCCACGTCCGGTCACGGTGGGTTGGAGGGCAAGGCAGGAATAAATACAAGAGGCGGGGAGGACCGGCGGGGGCGGGGAGGACCGGCGGGGGCGGGGGGCCAGGCTGGGAGGCTCTAGGTCCTGCAGCATAGCCCACACATTGGTTTATTACAGCAGCCACAGCAGAACAGGCAGATGGGGAAGTGGGTGTCTCGCCTCCTCAGCCTCGGGAGCGTGGGCTGTGGGGAGGAAGGGAGAGTGAGCGGAGCTCGGGCCCAGGCAAGGGCTGGGGGAGGCTCAGGAGGGAGTCGTCAGTGCTCTCACCATCAAGCCAGCCTGGGCTCCAGCTGCGTCCTGGACTTGCAGGGCTGCGAGCTGTTCTGTCTGCGGGAGCAGAAGGGGTGGTGAGGAAGGCCAGGGCCCAGGGGAGCTCTCAGACTTGCCCCCACACACCGGCTCCTCCCCAAGGGTCAGTGTCCTGGGGCTCCGTGGGTGTCCTGGGAGCCGCCTGGCGGTCCGGACTTTTCTCCCCTCCGCTCACGCAGCTCTTCCCATAGACATCCCAGATCTGTCTCCTTCTCTCCCCACAGCTACTCTTCTTGGGCACATCGCCCTCCCCGGCCTGCTGCCACCCCCGCCTGGAACACGTCTCCTGCATCTTGCCCCATCCATTCTGTTCCCCATGCCTTAGCAGTCCGATTAAAAGCCTGCGGGGCTCCCCTTGCACGTGGAGGAAAATCAGTATTTCCACAGTTGTCCGCAAGACTTGGCATGGCCGCCCCTCAATCTCCTCTCCAAGTACCGTCCCCTTCACTCCCTACACCTCCTGATCCTTGGGGACGTTCGCCACACTTGCCCTCTCCCGGGCATTTGTTTGCTGTCCCCTTCTCTTATCCTCCCAGTCCTAGGTCAGATTTCATTCTCTCACCAAACTCTTGATCCCATCTGAAGTCCTCCCCCCACCCCTCATGGTCACTCGGGTATCATCATCATTTTCCGTTATTCATGAAGAGCCTTTACTAAAACACAATGATCTTATTCCTGTTTTAATGGTTCCCGGACTAATTCCCTGACTGGGATGTAAGGTCCGTGAGAGCAGAACTCCTCTCATCTACCTTGTTCCCTGTGTGCTCCCCACTGTCCAGACTAGGACTGAACACGGAACAGACACGCCACTCACGGTGCAATTCGTTCGGGGCCTCCAGTCCCTGATACTCAGGCCCCCGGCTCTGTACCCCCCCTTCCCTGCCCTGAGCTCTGTCCCGTGCTAAGGGGTCTGCGGCTACCCTCAGCACTCCCCTCCCAGGGCCTGGCTCTCCGGTGGTCTCGGCCACTGAGCCGGACCCAGGCCCTGTGGGCTCTCACCTGGGGCGGAAGAACCCAGCCACTGGCCAGACCGGCCAGGAGGAGGGACAGGAGGCCCGCAGCCTGGATCCGCATGCTCATTGCCATCGTGCCGTCTGTCTGGCTGTCCTGCTGTCCCGTTGGGTTCAGGACTGGCTGTGGTGTCTGGGGCCCCGTTTCAGTTGCTTTTATGGGTTCTTCTGGAGGAGGCGGGGGTGCTAAGCCCCCTCCCCTTTGTCCTAACTCATTTCCAAGAAGGTGGTGGCGCCGACAAGACCGGAGATAAGCGGGAACAGAGTGACAGGGAACAGTGTTATGTCACCCTTAGCAGAGGTGTGTCCAGGGGGTGGGGCAGTCGGGGCCACAGACACGCGCCTCTAGCCAGCCACCTGGGAACACTTTCCCTGACATAGCATCACCCTGTTGTCCTCGGGGAAAAAAATTCCCCCTTTTGCCCCAGAAGTTGAACAGGTCGATGAGTAGGAGCGAGGTGACCTCCTATTCCCCACCCTTTCCCGATGTCCTCATCCCCAGGGAGGCTGGCCGTTGCTTACGGGCCCCCCCGGGGGTGCCCAGCATCATTCCTCCCGCTTCAGGCTCCCTTCACACAGGGCGCAGATCCAGGCAGGAAACGCTGGGGCAGCCAGACGCACGGGTTTATGTCGGCACAAGCCCCCAGCGTGCGTGTGGTTTTCTGAGTATCAGAAAAGGTCTCTGGAGTTTTTGCCCATTGAAGCCCACAGTGTTGGTCATTGCTAACCCCTGAGGCCTGCCTCTTCTGTGCCAGATGTACGGACCCACATCTGTGCCACCTGTCCGAGCGGCTCCTGCCGGCCCCGTGCTGGGCTCTGCTCTGTATTCAGGGGCCACGGCTGCCTTCTTCGCCCCCAATCCCCGGGGCCTGGCTGCCCAGGCCTTGCTCCCTCTTAGCACTGTGCCCACCCCAAGACTTGATTTCTTCATTCTATAGGGGGAACTGCAGGGAGAGATGGGGGCAGTGCCCAAGCTCACCCAGAGGCAAGAGCTAGGGTTCCAGCCTGAGCAGCCTGACTCTGGGGCGTGTGTTCGCACCACTGGGCTTTCCCGTCTCCCCACAAGCACAGGAGGCCACAGGGGAGCACGCTGGACTGGGCCCACACTGGCACCTGGAATCCGGCAGTGGTGGGAACATTTAAACCACAGACATCGGCTGACTCTACAAACCTGGGCCTTTTTTCTTGAGGGCCGGTTCTCCAGCAGGCCACTGGATGGAGAGACGAAGCAGGTGGCCTGACCGTGGCAACCCCACTCCCACCTACTCTGAGCCATCTTTGGGTGCACATGGTCCCGGGAACCACAACCCTGATTCCACAGACGGGCCTTTGGCCGTGTTTCCTCCCTGACTCTCGCGGACTACCCAGGCAGGGTCAGCTGCAGCCTAAGGGCCTGTGGACGATGCTGCCAAGGAATGAACACTCTTCCTGGCCCTGAGCTGCTGCCAAGGCCCACTCGAAACCACAAAAATGGGGGCTGTGGGGTCCGGGAAGTGCAGGCCGCTCCCTGCTGCACACACCTTCACTCTAAGCCGGCCTCACGCTGAGGGGGAAAGGGAGACGGGGCCGTCCGAGGGCAGCCCAGTTGGGAGCATTTGGGATGGGTCCGGGTGGGGAGCTCGGCCAGGTGAGCTGGCAGGCAGGCCCCGGTCCTGGGAGTTGCATGGGGCCACGGGCCACACGCTCAGCCCCGGGGAGACACGGCGGCGGCTCCCAGCACCGCCAAGCAGCACTGCATCGCAGCTCAGGCCAGGTTTCGTCACCAGCCGGGGCAGGGGTCACAGTGCAGGCGCCAGGGCCACGGGGTGAGGCGACAGGCTGACGGGCCAAGCCCGGCTTCCTGGCCATCTGCCCTTCCTGGGGGTGGGGGGGCTCAAGGCCAGGCTCCACCATTGGCTGGTGCAGAGGGGAGGGCTTCAACCCTTAAGGGCAGGGTCAGGAGCCAGTGCTGTTTTTAGTAACAGATGAAAGACCCCAGCCTTTCCTCCGAAAACATGGGACACGTCCTTGACCCCAGCTCCCCACGCCCTCACACCACACATGCACACCTGGAGCCTCAAAGGGGATATTCAGTCCTTAATCTCTCCACCCGTCCGACCGACCAACAGACTGGGGTCCGGGAGGTACAGGAAGGATGGCAGGGACTGGCACGCCGCCACACACACCGCAGCTGAGGCACTGCCGTCGTGGAGCTCCCCACGGTCCCCGGGCCCCCTCCCCATCCTCGAGATGCACAGAGACACAGACAGACAAGGCGGGGCCACATGGGGCCAGTTTATTGCAGTTAAATACCTCTCTCTCTATTTTTTTCGTCCACTTTTCCATAAAGAAAATTAAAACACACACACACACTCAAAGGGGAGCAGGGATCCAGAAACAAGAGGTGGGGTGGGACATGGCCTCCCTGCTTAGGTCCAGGCCCCGGGGATGGCCCCCCTAAAGGCTCCCCTCCTTCCCGAAAGCACCCTGTCTCAGTACCTCTAGAGACCAAGGAGGCAGCGGGATACGGCAGGGCCTCTGTCCTCCTCCCTCTTGCCTCCAGGCGAGACCACTAGAAGTGCTGGGGCTTAGTGGGGGCCGGGAGAAGGGAGACAAGACAGAAGGGGGGGAGGATATCGCTTCCCAAGTTGAGGAGAGCGGCGGGCGCTTATCCACAGAAATGTATTATTTCTCCCCGTTTTGTTAAAAATCTACTATAAAAAAACGCAGCTGGGGGAGGGGCGTCTGTCCCTCTCTGTGCTAAGGGCTGGGGAAGGGGCAGCCGAGGCCGCAGTGGGGTGGGCGTCACTGCCGCGCGCTCTCGCCCACCATCTCCAGGTTGTGCTGCTGCAGCTGGGCGCGAAGCACGGCGTTCTCGTTCTTCAGCTCCTCGATCTGGCACACAGGACACGACAGGGGGACCGGGCAGGGGGCGAGGAGCCAGGGGCTGGCTGCCCACACCTGCGCCGGCTCCTCCCGGCCCCGCCCCGCCCCGCCCCTCACCTGCTGCCTCAGCAGCTCGTTGTCCATCTGCAGCCGCTCGGCCTCCTTGAAGGTCTCCTGCATGCGCTGGTTGGTCTGGCGCAGCTCCCGGATGTAGTCGCAGGCCTTTGACAGGATCCCTCCTTTACTCTGGGGGGTGGGCAAGAGCGCTGGTGAGCGCCGCCCGCTGGCTCACCCAGCACGGCGCCCAGGGACCAGGCCAGGCAGACTTTCTCGAAGGGGTGGCCGGGGGCGGCGGGGGGCATGGCACTTACCGCTCCCGTCTTGCTGTTGTCTGCATTACAATCTGGAATGATTTTTGAAAGTTGGACGATCCAGTTGTTGATCTTGTCCCTCCGCCTCCTCTCCACTGCAAGAGTAAGAGCCGTGTGGCCGCCGTGCGCACAGAGCTTCCCAGAGCTTCCCGCGCGGCGCTCCCACCCGCTGAGGACCGGGGCCGCCCACGGGGGCAGCGCCCACATGTGGGCACCTGGCTGCCACTCCCCGCTTCACGCCACTTCTCACGGGCCGCACGCACACACCTTTCGGGCAGAATCAACAGTGGGGACGGGTTTGCTTTGTTTACCTGCCTGGCGTATTTTTTTAAAAAGTAATTCACATAATAATTGGCATCTTCTGAAAAATGGGGAGTTGTGGCTTGTGTTCTTGGGAGGCAAGAATGGGCCAGAGCCCCTTTCCACAGGACCCCGGCGCCCCTGTCTGGTTCTCCACAGCTGCTGCCTTTGATTTTCCACAGTCCTCAGGCCTCCCCCGGGGCTTTGGGCTCCACAAATTTTTTAGTTCACCTTTAAAATCACAGTCTGACCATGTCTCCCCCCGGATTAAAATCCTTCTCCAGAGCCCGGGCAGCGAGTCCCAAGCTGCCACGGCTGATGCTTGTGGCTCTCAGGGGCCTGGCCCCACCAACCACGGGGGCAGTCACCCAAGGGCAACGTGAACCCTACCTTGAAGGCCAGGGCTGGCAGACCAATGGAAGACTTCGCTTGAAAAATCCAGATTCGTGATTTACTCCCGTAACACTCAGCAATCTCACCCAAACTCTGTCCACTGACCTGAGCGGCGGCTACCCCATCCCTGTGGCTTCTCATCGGGCTCATGTCATGGCCTAATGACAGCCACTTGGGGTCTGCCTGCATTGAAGCCTAAGACCAGGGTTCATGGCCTATGGAAGCAAAGCTATGCCAGAATCTTCCTTACCTTCCAAGCCCAGGACTAGGGATCGGTGTGGACACACACAAGAATGCCCAGTCACCTTCCCCAACCGACACACACCCTCATCCCTCCTGCCAGGACAGCTCATGGGCAGACGTAGGCAGCATTTGTGGAGGAGACGAAGCCTATAGGTGGGATTTGGAAAGTGGGGCAAAGGAGTATTTCCTCTGGGCTGGGCAGTGCTGATGGGGGTTGTCAGAAGGGGTCTGGGTGAGAGTGAAAACGGAGGGTGGGCCAGAATCACACCCCTCACTCCTCATGGCCTCCGAGGCTGGTGCCTCCCGCTGACCATGTTGCTCTCACCAACAACACGCCTGGCCACCAATCGTCAAACCCACTGCTGGCTCCTGGCACTTGGCTCCGTCTGCTCACTGCCAACCGTCCTTCCCCACGTCCAGGTGCCCCCTGCTCTGGCCCGGGTTATGACACCCTCCTTCAGGGACTCTCCTCCTCCCTTGCTCTCCAGGACTGCACTTTACCCACCCGTCGCCCTGGGGTGAGGGCGCAGCACCCGGGTCTCATTACTGCCGGGGAGGGCTGCACCTCCCCACTGAGGATGGCCACGTCCTACCACCTGGAAACTCTGTGGCTAAAAACTGCAGTGGAACCAAGAGTCTAGCCCAGGCCTGGCGGCATCGGCCACCCTGCCCTCCAGCAGTGCACTCTATTCCCAAGGTTTCAGCAGAGAAACTCAACAGCAGACGGCTTCTCCGCTTCCTGCTCTCCCCTCATGCAGTCTGGCATTCTCAAGCCCCCGGCACCGGGCTGCAGCCAGATCTCCTGCAGACTCCTCCCATCCAACCACCAGATGGCAGGGATGGGGGCGCCGGGCACATCTTTTCCAGTTTGCGTTTACTTAAAAATTATTGCCTGCCCAGGGCACCTGGGTGGCTCAGCTGGTTGAGCATCCGACTCTTGGTTTCAGCTCGGGTCACAATCTCAGGGTCATGGGATTGAGCCCCAGGTCGAGCTCTGTACGCAGCAGGGAGTCTGCCTGAGATTCTCTCCCTCTGCCCTTCCCCTGCTCACTCACGCTCTTGCTCTCAAATAAATAAAATTAAAAGAACCCCCAAACCAGAAAACCTTAGTGCCTGCCCTACTGTGTGCAGGGGGGCACCTGCAAGCCCAGAGTCTGCGGAGGACTCAACCTCTGTCCTGCTGGTGTGCACGGCACCTCTGTGCAATGTGTGTGAATGGGGGACATGGACACCAGAGAGGTGCTATGACGGAAGGTTGTACCAAGTGCCTGGGCAATGCCAGGGTGAGCCAATGATTTCTACATGGTGCTGGGTGTGGTGGGCCTTCAGAGAAAGACTTGGGGAGGGAACATTTGGGCTGCTTTCTGAGGGGAGGGGCATCAGGCAGACAGGTGTGGAAAATGCTAAAATGGGGACATGGAAATACTCTGGGGAGGCAAGTGGGGAAGGGAAAGGCTAGGTTGTGAAGGTCTCAAATGCCTTGTTGATGGGCCCAGGCCCTTTCACCAAGCAGGTGGTGAGGTGGTCAGACCTGTGGCTCGGGAAGACCATCCTGGCACATTTGAAAGGGAGGACGCCCGGTCAAGACCAAGGCCACGTCTACTCCACAGTAGAGCTTCATTTACACCCATACGACACTGAAAACCATCCAGAAGCAAAATCTGCCAGGACTGAAGGGAGAAACGGACAAACTCACAGACATGCTTGGAGACGTTAACGTTCCTCTCTCAGTAACTGATAGAATACGTAGACAAAAAAGTCAGGATAGAAAACCTCAAGAGTGTCAACCAACTTGAGCTAGCCGACCCCGAGGGAACTCTCCACACCACAGCAGAGACACACATTCTAAGCGCACATGGAACCTTCCACAAGACAGACCATATTCAGGGCCATAAAACAAGTCTCAACAAATCTCAGAGAACTGACATTATATAGTAACAGTAAGTTTCTGATCAGAACAGAACTAAATTAAAAATGAGTAACAAAAAAAATCCACAAAACACAAATGTTTGAAAATTAAGCAATGCACTTCTAAATAACCCATGGGTCAAAGAAGGTATCATTAGGGAAACTGGAAAGTATTTTAAACTGAATGATAACGAAAACCAATATATCCAAATGGGACGCAGGTGAAGCAGCACTGGAGTGAAATTTACATCTAGAAAGGCTTGTGCTGGGAAAAAAGGAAGGTTTAAATCATCTTGAAAGGCCAGGAAAAAAACCCCAAACTAATTAAACCTAAAATAAGTAAATGGAATGAATTAGCAACATTAAGAGTAGAAACTAATGAAATAGAAAAAGCAATCTCATCTGGCATTTAAGAATCAGATTTCTGGATTTCTGACTCCTCAGAGGTTCCCAGCAACAGTGGGCCCAAATTCTGACCCGGCTGCAATGGGCTGGCCCCACAGGCTCCAATCCCCTGTGGGGCCTGGAGATGGGCTCCCGCAGTCCCAAGAAAAGGTGGAAAAGAGGGAAAAAGGAGAAAGAGAAGCTGATATGGGGTCTAATTCAGCACAGAATCTCAGGGTTCGCAGACATGAGGGAAGGAGAAGCGGCAGAGTCAAGGGTGGCCCTGGCTTTCGGTTCTGGCTTGGGTAATTCTAAGAGGGGTGCCTTTTGCCCTGTGGGAAAAGAAATGTTGCATGGGAGGGCGCCTGCGTGGCTCAGTTGGTTAAGCGACTGCCTTCGGCTCAGGTCATGATCCTGGAGTCCCTGGATCGAGTCCCGCATCGGGCTCCCTGCTCGGCGGGGAGTCTGCTTCTCCCTCTGACCCTCCCCCCTCTCATGTATTTGCTCTCTCTCATTCTCTCTCTCTCAAATAAATAAATAAAATCTTTAAAAAAAAAGAAATGTTGCATGGGAACCTTTGCGGGGGGGGTGGCGGGGAGCTTGTTTTGGACAAGGTGAGTATGAGGTGTCTCAAGGACATCCAG